AGTGCTTCAACTTTCTTAATTTCATCAGGAGTATGTGCATTGTCTAGTCTAATGATACTGTCTGGTTTTGTAAAAAGCATTTTCATCATACTCAGGATTCTGAAACAGTTACAGAAAATTGTATTGAATATTGTGGCAGGTGCCATCAATTTGCAGACTTCCTAATGATAATTAGCAAACTTCAGAGCTGGGGAAACCCAGTCTTCCCAAGGTGTGTGCAGTGATTGGTAGTGAGGTAGTGAGGATGTTTTTATGCCTCTTAGGCCCACCAAAATCTCTGCCTGGAGCCACATGTAGAAGTAGCTCCCTGAGACTCAGGTGCCTGTGTGTGACTCAGATTCCTCAACAGAGCAATTGCCTTCATGAATTCAGTGCTTGCCAGACACTCATATATGAGAACAGAATGATACAGAACACACACGGGGCACCCACATGCAAACAAAAGGATACAAACCCACAGAATATAGTCAGGCTTGATAGTGCTTCCATAGCACAGTAAGCTAATCTTCAGGGTGTGATTTGTTATCATTTATCAGATGGTCAATGTTTCTATCACAGTAGGATAGAAAAAAAAGGGTAAGAGTAACATAAGAATGGCAGAGTTCCTTTGTTGACTTGTTTAATTTTAATTTTAATTTTAATTTTTAAGTAAATTTGCATTTAAAACCATTTGAAAGGGTAATAGCCTTGTTCAACTATTAGATACTATAAGTAACATTTAGGATCTGATTGCTGGAAAGACCAAAAGGAATACTAATATAAACTGTAAAAGAAGCCTGTTCTGCTCAGTTAGAACTGGAAAGAGTCAAACTCTCATGAAGCCTACAGGTATTTCTGTTCAGAATTTTATTTGAAACATTTTCTAAATATACAGGAATTTAGACAAGGAACTTTACATTAGTTATGGATACTGTGAGGTCCCAGGTCCCAAGACACATGCTTTTCTAGCTACTTCTATACTCAGTTTTAAAATTTACACAGACTGACAGCAAATCAAAACTTCATATAACATTTTGTTAACAAGAAATTCTGTAATGCATAACCTGGATGTCTGAGTGGGGATTTTTTTTTCTTGCCATAACAATGTTACCTTCCAGTATTTATGGAAAAGGAAAGTTAACACCATGTCACAAAAGGCTATTCCTGCATTGACTTCCTTCCTGCTATCACCCTTTTCTGTGATTCCTGCAAAACATTAATAATGCTAGTGATTTAAAGCCAATGTGTTCTTTGTTGAGTTAACCTGAACCACATATTGTCTTTCTATTCATATAGAAAAAAGCTCCAAACTAGGCAGCACTTTTAGTCCAAGACCGCAAGCACAGCAGAACATTAGTGAGAGAGAGGTAAAAAAAGGAGAGAAATGAGAAAGGTGGCATCTTAATGAAGAGCAAGTTTCTTCATACTCCCACCAGACAGTGAACTAGAGCTCAAAGCCTTTCTGACATTTAAAATCTGTCTCCAGATAGTTTTCATGAGAGTCTCTGGCCCCAGTGTCTCTTGATCAGTGTGAGTGAGAAGACCTGTACAGACAGGAGACCCTTTGCTCATACTTTGAACAACAGCAGAGAAGCTGATGCAACATCAATGTAGTTTTCAAAGTGCAAGGTGGTTTTCCCACATAAGCTTTTGGATGCCTGTTAAATTCCAGATACTGTAGCAAACTGAAAACAGCTTTGTGATACTGAGAAAGCATGAAGAAAGTGCTGAGCACATGAACTCCTCAGAGTAACAAAGGTAAACCACAGAAGATGGGTAAAATGATATCACTGCTAAAAATTAAATTGCTTTGACATGGTGAGATTCTTTTCACTTGCTTATAGTGTTTTGTTCAAGTTAATATGACCATTTGAGCAGATAAAGATCTAGAAGACTAATTCTGAGCTTTCTTACCACTGAAGATGCTTAACATGACTGCTCAGGACCTGAAAGCAAAGACCTATCCAGGTCTTTGCTTGCAAGACCTAGACAGGTCTTGCAAGCAAATCAAGAGTAGCAATAGTCACTGTAAGAGCTATAGGAGTGCAAAACAGCTTGGACTTGAATAAAATAAAACCTGCAAAGGACTGCCTGTGTTTTTGTAATATAGTTCACTTCAGAGCTAAGTCCTACGCTTTTGAAATCTTGAAGCTTATAGAATGATTTTGCATCAAGTGTGTAGGAAGTGGCCTTGTAGATGGCTCAGAGCATATTCCTTAGAAGTACTTGATTAGTTCACCAAACCTAGAAAGGTTACTTCTCTCAGAGTGCTTAGCTCTTTTAAAATTGCTTTTGTTATATTCTACTATAAATTTCAAGTGATTAAGTTTTTCTTGTCTAAATTCATTGTATGACACTAGAGGCCACAGAGGAGTTTGATCTGCAGCAATATGACATATTTTAATAATAGGTCTTCCAGTAATGATCCAACATAAATAGTGCTTGAGTTTAGTTTAAGTAACATTATTTTAGTGGCAAGGACATCTCTTGCATATGAACTGTTCTTGAAGGAAAAGCTATTACTCCTTTGCTGATGATACTAGAAGTCAAGTTCTTCATTTTCTAGAAATGAAAGAATGAGGAAGGAATAGTCTATTAAAGATAATGCAAGTGTCACTGAAAATTCATTTACTGTAATTTCATGGTAGCTTTTTCTCCCATATATTTAACATGCCAACATTGATTCTTTTGCAGATAATTTTATGACCAATTATTCCAATTGGCAATTGGCCTTTGGATTAATTGAAACTAAAAGGGAGAGAGAGTAGCTCACTTCTTATACTCGTAGTGGTAATATCTATATTTTAATAAATAAATAAGCCAAATGGTCCTTAAGCCTATGAAGAACTATAACAATGCTGATGGGAGGGGATGCATTCCATTTGGCTGCTTCTTCAGACAAAAGCAGCTAAGGGAGCGTTAGGAATGAAAGGGCCCCTGGGTCTCTCATTAGGAACTACTGGTAGACATCCTGTTGGCCAACACTGGGAGCTGTGTCTAGACTACAGAGATGACAGACAAACAACAGAATGTCTTTTCTGACACTCTCTGTTGGGCAATAGAAACAGGTTTTGGGGAATGATAAGAAACCAGTCACATGCACGTTCCCAGGTTGGAAAGCAGCTCAGGAATGAAACTTGACTAGATTTTGTTGAGGGAAAATTACATTTTCTTCTTCTTCTTTTTCATTCAATTAAACTATTACAATGTACATCTTTAACTGTGGTTGTGGGAATAGGAATATACTATTTCATCACAAACTATTTTTATATTAATCTAAATACATCAACTTTATGGAATCTACTAGTAAAACATTAGTTTCCAGGAAGAGTAAATAATACATACATACAATTAATGTAACCTAGGATAAGAAACATTTGTCCGCTAACAGGATGACAATTCTAGTGATATTTATTTGCTTTTGTTTGTTTGTTTGTTTTAATCTACCATGACCATGAGCTATCTGAGGCAATTCTGTGTGGAAGAGCACATCATATTTCTACAAGGATTTGTGACCACAGTATGCAACAAAAAGAGATTAATACTAACAATGTAGCCCCATTTTTCAAGCACCATTGAATCAGCCATTATTAATATAACAATATAGTGGTGAGATGTAAATAACAGGCGAGGGAACTTCCTGCTCTATGAGACACCAAGGTTTTCAGTAGTCTTAGAGACAGTTGTTATTTGTATAAGAGTCTTTGTGCAAGGTGGGATTGTAACAGTGTTATGATAGCTGCAGTGTGTTCAAGTCAGGAAGCCCTAACAACTCATAATAGAAAGAAAGAATATTTACAGAGAAGAAATTTCTATTTCTCTAGAAAGACTTTATATGCAACAATGAAAATAATAGATACATAAAGCAGCATATGGTATAATACTTTAGGGTAGAAGACTATGGCTATCCTAAAGTAGTTAAAATCAGCTTCTCAATATCACACTCATTTTGTCCACGTAGAATCCTAAAATAGCCATTTTCTCCCCAAGATTTTCCCCAGGAATTTGCAGCAATCTAAAGAAAAAGAAAGAGGAAAAATATATATATTTTAAAGTGGTATTTAAGAATGCAAGGTGTAAAATGTAAAATTAATCTTTTGTGGTAGTTTTCTTTAAAGAAACAGCTTCTCTGATTCAGCAAGAATCAGAATGCATTTTTCCTATTTATCTTGATAAAAATTTTATTTCCAAAGTCAAGGTTAATAATAATGGACTATTGTTTCTACTAGGCAGTTTGATATATTGAAGCAGATATCATTAGATAATCCATGCATTGCCTGAAGGAAATGGTCATTTAAACAACAGTGGTCAAAATTCCAATTACAAATAATATGTTAAAGAGAGAACTTAATATGAAAAAGCTGACTTTGAATAAATTAGGTTTCATTCAGGTAGCTATTGACATTTTGAGAAATTTAGTTTCTAATGAAGTTAGTAGGAGCTTTGCCCTAGATGTCAGTAAAACCAACTACCATAAACCCTGCCATCAGCTAAGTAAACTCCAATTTACCTTCTCAACACAGGAATGAACTATTAATCATGACCAAAGTGATAAAATCTGACTTACTCTAAATCATTGAAAGCCAATGATTAATTTTTTGCTCATAGCTGGAAAGCATTGTCAATGCTGTTCAAATAGATAGCTTGTCTTTTCAAAATGGCTTAATGATTAATGCTGATATATATTATTGACTCTCACTTTCAGGAATCAAAATGAAGAAAGTCTCCATGGGAAACCTGAATAAGATTTGAGACAGAAAAGATGGCATGGGAAAAACCACACATGTAGGTGTAGGGAAATCAGATAAAACAGGCTTTGAAATTGAGACAAGTGATGATATAGTTCAAGGGCCAGCAGGATAAAAGTTTGCCTGAAAAGCAACAGAATTATACAGAAGACTTGAAGGTGAAGGGAAAAGTAGATACTGAGAGAAGGAATGAAAGAAAAGTTGTTTTTTGATAATCCATACTGTAGAAATTTTGTCTTCTCACTCAAAACAGAGTGCTACGGATTCACTTACCCAGAATTTCTGTTTCTGTCCATTTTTGCCAGGTAATGAACCCCACCTGTTACAAGAGATACACAAGTGAGACCTTTAATGCATTTGTTCACATTTTGTGACTTCAAACAATCAAACACAAGGGTAATGTTTATGTTAGTTAGTTATCCTAATACCAGGAACAGAAAACAGCTAATAGAGGTCTCTGTGTTTAAACAACAAAGTCTGATGATGATTAAAATTGTCCTGCTAGCCACAAGTGAAATTGCCATCAGGGACTAGAAAAACTTCTGAGTACAAGTGTATCTTTAGTTTCTCATTGCAACTACCTCATGTTTTCACTGACAGAATCCCTCCTCTGGAGAGCTCACCATCTGAACTAACTGAACTGTGTAGGAGTATTTAAATTAATGTGAACACAATTCTTCAATTCAGCTGAAGATCCCTAGGAACATTTTTGTTAAAGATTTCATCCAACACCTTTATGAATATCACTTGTGAGCTGGGACTAGAAGTGTTCCCAGCTGCTCTCAGCAAAAATTGAATTGCTGACATCCTAATTTGATTTACTGCACAGCGAGGTGAATGACCTGTAAACCTGAGGTTTTCTTTGACATCTTTCAGGACACGCTAAGTGTTGCGGCAATATCCATGAAGCCATGCAGAATCTTGTCCCCTCCTCTGAGTAATAAGACAGATAGAAAACTAAAGATGTGAAAAGATATGAACAGTTATTGCAATTTTGCTACAGTGTAAGTTAATCCTAGAATGTACAAAATTGACAGGATGTTTATCGCACCAGTATCCCACCAGTGCCACATGATTTGGCTGTATTTCTGTGCTCCATTCACTTTGAAAGGCAAGCAGGAAAAATACATGAGAAATCCTATAGTGTGGATGGGGAAACCTGGAGTTTCAAGTCATCTTTGTAAAAAAAAAAAACAGCTGCAGTGAAATAAATTATCCTAGATTAACAGTAAACCATGATCTGTGTGGAACACCTGCATTAATAGCCAAAGGAGAAAAAAAAATAAAATTATATATATATGTATATATATTTAAAACCCCAGGTACCAAATCTTTCAGTCTAAGTTTGATATGAAGGCACGCTGAGCAGAATAAGCTCACAGTTTTTTGCTGTAGTACCATGGCTGCATCTAAACTGAGAAATTAAAGATCTTTCCAGCCTTTCCAATTACTAGGCATCTCACTGCAGGCTCTGGGACCATATTTTTCCTCTTTTTAACAAAGACTGTGTAGGAAACAGAGTACTGCAATGTGTATCTATCTCTTCATCTAGCCACGAGTTCTGCCTGATGATGATTTCCTGTTTCAATTTCCTACAAATTCAATTGGATAGTATGACTGCTGGTTAGAAGTAAAACCCCTATCTGGACCACGGTGCTGCTGCTTGTTTTCCAAACACTGTCAATCATAGGCTCAATGCTGTCTGAGAAGAAGAAGAAGTGCAGAATGATAGACAGAAATGTCCACTTTGGAAGCAAAAGCTTTGCAACTAGCATAGAGGTGAAGTTTAGATTACAGATGCAAGAACATATTGTAGCTACTGGTCACTCAATGCAAGAAATCATAAAAACAATGTTGGTGATACTAAGCATTTAATCTAATTGTTGTCTTTTAAAAAGGCCTTGTGCATTTTTTTTGCACTACTATGTGAATGTTTAGGGATTATTAATAATCTTTGTTGTTTCTTTGCCAAATGTATTTCAGACACAGTTAGTCATGATCATAAATTTAAAAGTAGATATACATAGGCTATCTCATTTCATATCGAGCTGAGATCTACTTCTTGTCTGGTGGCCATTTTGTTAAAAAATTACATCAGCTGCAGTATGAAAATCCAATACTTACATCAGTGTTAAGGATAGATGAAAATTACATCAAATTTATGTTCTTGTATTCCTGAATTCAGTACTATACATTCTCTCTCCTATTTGTCTAAACAGGATGATGAGCAGTTCTTGCAGACTCACATTTCTACCATTAAACTGTTTTCTAATGCTTGATATTTTCTAAAAAAATCTCAACTTTTAGTTTTGTTTGTTGACAGGAGTATATTGATTCTCAGAAATGTTTCTAAATTGAAGAAAGCTTGGAGAACAAAATGGAAGAGAATCCTTTTGTTAATCTTTGGCTATAATATAGCCATGAATTTAATTTCCCAGGTTTTGTTCCATTCTAGTCATATACAAACAGAAAGACTTGATATATGCATTTTTTCTTACAGTTTAGAAAGAAGAGCTGCTTACTCAGTAATCCATCCCCAAGGTCATTAATTCAAATATTCTAAACTAAAATATATTACATTAAAGTATACAAGAGTGTAGTCGGCAGAAAACAACTATTCTTTATTCATGACCTGCCATTCTGTACTTGGAGCACTGTGTCCAGTCTTGGGCTCACCCACATATAAAATACAGGCTGGAACAAAACCAGAAGGAATCCACTGACATGTTTGGGTCTGTAGCACCTGATGTACAAGGGTAGCTGTGGGCGCTGGCTCAGGAGAGGTGGTTTAGTGGAGATCTATTCTAATCATAAAATTAAGACAGCCAATAGACAGAAGGTGACAGTCACATTTTTCTGCAAGTTGCAATAGGAAGTTGCAATCTGGAAGTTGCAATCGGACATAAAGAAGCAAAAGTATTTTACAACATGAAACACTAGTAATGTGTTATTCAATGTGAGAGGTTGTGCAACATCTGTCCTCATATATACCCAAAAAGCACCCTTGGAAGACCCAGAAACCTGAACTTAGCTTGAAGCTGGCTCTCTGAGTTGTGGGATTGAACTAGATGACCTTCAGAGATCCTTTCTAGCATAAACTACTTAATGATCTAAGCAACTTGATCTGTGCCATCCCTACTAATCCATGGTTCCACAAATTATTAACTTATTTTGTATTCAACATATAGATTTTATGTAACAGTTGTATAACTAAGTAATAGATTATAGATTTTGATGAGGCAAGGGATTTTGCCAGTTTTTTAATGGCTGTAGTCTAAAGAGCAGATAATAAAGTTGGTTTATTGTTTACTGGTCAAAGCCAGTCTTAAGGTTATTGGGTGAATCAGGAGCAGGATTTTAGCAGGAAAGGTGGAACAGACTGACATTTCCATAGATGCTGACCTTTACTGGCAGCAAATGTGGCATGAATTCCCAGGCCCATTTGCCAAAGCCTTTCCTAAAACTTGGCATGGTTGGTTCAGGCTTGTTCTATAGGCTGGCTGAGATTCATTAGTTCTCGTTTCTCCCAGGCAATAGTGCTTCTCTCTGTCTGAAAAGCAATCAGCTGTAATGAAAACAGCTGTTGTTTTGTGAAACAAGCAGATATATATTGTTCAATGATACAGTGGTTTAGGCCCCCTGCCAGTTTGATTTGACATCTTGCCTCTGGGAATGAATGTCAGCTCCAGCTAAGAGCATTTCTGGAGACTTCTGGGCTTGTTCATCCTAATATAGATTCTAAAGCAATATTCCCAAAAGAATATTGGAAGCAATTCTTCCAAAAAACTCCTAAGTGAAAAGTGTTTCTGCAGTAGTACCTTTAGAAAAGGAGAAAGTACTTTCTAAAATAGATTTCTCAATTTTCCAAATGAGACTTCTCAGCAGAAATATTTAATTTAATCTTTGCATTTTTTTTCCTTTTCCTGCCTATAAAGTTGTACTTCAGTAGCTTTCATGATTTCAGTTTTACTGATGAAATGAATTAATTCCACATTGTCTCCCTTGGTTATACCTATAACACATGTTACAGTACCCAGGCACAGCTTCCACTTAAAGCTTAATTTAAGTTCAGATTCCCCAGGGAAAAAAAATAAAAATCCCTAAATATCCTTTCTGCTGCTAAGTCAGGCATCTAGAGTGAATTTTCTGAGTCAAAAAGAAATATATTATAGAAACGAATGATAATAAAGTCAGCTTGAATTTTAGCTGCTGTGTTACTTGCTGCTGTAAGTACTGCTACTTGAAGTATGAAGGCTGAGACAAATTTGTTAAAATGATCAATAAATATTCAGTAACCTAAAAAAAAATAAAAAATAAAAATAAAGTCAGGGGAAATGTGAACATTTTAAAACTCTTTGCCATCCAGTAGGTTTAACAGGAACTGGACAGTGTATTATTTCAAAAATTCAGAAATCAGTCTTATTTCAATGGTGTTCACATCATATATGTTTTCATAATACAACAGGAGTCTGTGTAAATATCTTTTACTGAATCTGGGTTATCCTTGAGATTTGATTTCTTCATCTCATTTACATTTTAAAACAGACATTAGTTGCAAAGATCTACCTACTAATAGACTAAGAAGTCATTGTGGAATATATACTAGGTGTAAAAAATGACCTGTTATTTTATTGATAGAAGTAATGAAAAATGATAACATTCCCAATCATTTTCACTGGAGAGTACTAGCTGAGAGAAAATGTTCAGTGGAACAAAAATCTTTGAAATCAAAATGTAAAACAAAATAAAATAAAATAAAGAAATAAAATTATTTCTTATACATGTAATAATACTTATTATTAAGTAAAATTATGCTAAGTATTATGTTGAAGGAGACAAGTAAACCACTGGGTTCTAAAAGTGAATCTCAGTCAAACATCTCACTTCTATCCCAGAAAAGTGAAAAATCTATATAGCTTGGAAAAGCACTAGGAGTACAATTATATTATTAAAAAATGCAAATTCTTGTTATGGGTATACTGAGGAAAAATAGAATAGATAAAAGTTCCTTTACAATGTAAAAGGTATTTTGTACTAGAGTTGCACTGGGGTTTTCTGAGACTTAAGCAGTATATTGATGTTATTATCTTTAGAGTAAATGTTAATGTCAGAACTGGAAATGGAATTTGTCTTTTTCCTGACAGGAACACCGTGAGATATATCTTAAGATTAAGAAATGAAATTGTATGTGTCCCACAGTAGCAAACATTGGGATCCAATCACTTGACTAAATGCAGGTGTCTAGGGCCAGGTGTTGAGATGCCTTAGGGTGCCTGAAATATCTACATGTTTCTGTCAGACATAACACAGGACCTATGA